ACAACACAACAGTAAACACTTTGCATTACACCACTGAGAGACGACTCTTATAATACTTATTTAAACACTATTACTTAATTTGAATGTATTTGCATTATTGTCATATATTACCTACTTATCTGATACAAGTACTTTTACTTCTAAGTACCAGTAACAGTACTTACATTAAACCTATCTGCATATTTATAGAAGTAGGTACTTGCTTATTAAAAATAATATTAATAATAATTGTATCTGCTTTCAGGATTTCATAGAAACAGTAAAGCAATATGCATTGATTGTAATCAATAAATTATATGTTCCATTTTACGTTAACTAGGCTCTTAATATCTACAAGGTAAATTGAATGTCGAGAACATTGAACTGAAGTATTGTACTGGTTAAAGTAACTTACGTAAAAGTGAAGTTCAACCAAAATTATACGAAGTTCAATGTCCGAAGACATTCAAATACCCTACCCACCCATAATGTAACATCGGCTACAATAATCCCTTAAACATAAAATGGGTCATTCTGTACAGTCACCAGCATATAATGTAATAATGTGTGTATTTTTTTTAAAACCTTATTGGGTTTGTTACATCAATCGTTAGACGTACATAGCTGAAAATGGCTAAGAATAAATTATTGACAAATTGGGCATCATAATTAATGCGCTGTTGACAGTACTTAAACTCTAAAACTTGACAGATGACAAAGAGATATTTTTTTAATATTCTCTCTAAACGTATGATGAAGGTACTTCGTAGCAAGGCTCACTAAAAGGTAAATTGAATGTCTTCGGACATTGAACTTCGTATAATTGTGGTCGAACTTCACTTTCTGGGTAAGTTAATTTAACTAAAACTAATTATTACTGCTACATCGAATTCCTTTAACAAATTCTAAAGAGCTTTTAATGGTTTTTAGTAAGTTTTGAGAAGGTTATGTTATTTTATTATACAAGTAAAATGGAAAAATGACGAATTCATAAAGAAAGGGTGTTAATTTTATTTAAAATTCCAGTGGTAGCAAAATTTTAATGAACAAGGCCTCCATCATTTTCCAAAAAAACGTAAGTTACAAAAAAAATATAACGAATACAGTGCAGCAGTGATAACATTTTACAACTCAATTAAACGAGCTCTGGCAGAAATTCTTCGAGTTCATTTGGTATCGTATTTTTAATCATTCGCTGATTGATTCATCGTAGACATTATGATGTGAAACTAGTAGGGTTTTGCGTCTTATATCTACGTAATTCTACTAAGTGAAACCTTTGAAATAGATGTTATTTGATAGTTTTATTAAAGTTTATATTATTTTTAAGTTATGCATTGAATTGTCCCAATTAATACCAGGACCGTAAAGTAGGTAATTTAAGACATAATAAGTAATAGGGATAATGTTATAAAATGACTAACTTTTTTGCTTCATCTCATATTGTGAAAAAGTACTGGACACGTTATTTTTCTTTATTCACATAATCTGAACATAAAAGAGATACCTATATTGATTTGAAATGTCGCTTGACATGTCATGTCTTGGTACAATTAAGAAGAGTCACTAACTCTATTTGATGATTAAATAAATTACGTTTACTTTAGCCCGTCTTCATGTGTATAGTATGCCCTTCATGATGGCAGGGATATTTTGAGCAGGAATTATTCAGCAAAATAAAAATTATAATTCGATTTAGATATAAATTGTGTGAGTGCACGTCAACAAAGTTTGACATCAAAAGGCTCACAGTCTTTTATTTGTTTGTTAGCGATGCCTTAATGGATTTTGCAAGAATCAAGTTACGCTCTGGCTTTACAGGCAATAGAATTTATTAAAAAGAAAAGGGTAATAATAGATACGTTCTACTTTTAAATGAATTCTATTGCACTGTCTCTTGGTGAAGTTAAAAAGTTTGAAAATCAATATTTTAGAGCCACTTCTGCACCAAAAAATTTAGCGTTTACCACATTATTTTATCTTTGTTAATTGTACAAAGCCAAACGAAAAAGAATGAGGCTTACACATTAGAAAAGCTTTAAAAAAAATTCAACAATAAATAATATTACTAACGATAATATATAAATAAAACATTTCGATCAATGCCAACTTAAAGAAAAAAGATTTGTTAATTTTCTGTAACTGAGTTGGTATCGATTGCACGCATCACACGAAAACATTACTTTTGAGAGTGCTCGATTGTGCGAAGCGTTGCTGTAGTTGAAACATTCAACGTTAAGCATTGTTGTACTTGGAAAACTACCATTATTTGCTTTAAGAATTGAAATAAGAACTTTGTTGCAAATTTTTTTTAAACTTCGCAAGTTAAAGAATGTCTTTCACAGTAGGTCGAGATTTAAAAACGGTAAACATACAATTTTAATAGTGTGAAATTTTATCGATTTCTGACTTTTTATGACTAAAAGTGGAAAACTCCTAGGTATATTCTGATACATTCAATGTCATCATCATCATGTCAGCCGTACGACGCCCACTGCTGAGCATAGGCCTCCCCCAAGGATCTCCACACCGATCGCTCCTGCGCCACTAGCGTCCATCGGCTTCCCGCGACCTTCACAAGATCGTCGGTCCATCTTGTAGGGGGCTTGCCCACTGAGCGTCGTCCGGTGCGTGGTCGCCATTCCATAAACTTCCGCCCCAACGGCCATCAGTTCTTCTTGCTATGCTTCCCGAATGCTGCCCATCCGAGCTGGATACGACGATAGATCTCTTTCTCAAAGTTGGACTTACCTAACAGGACTGTCTGTCCTAGGTAAACGTAATGGTCGACAACTTCGAGTGTGGTGTTCCCAATTTTAACTGAAGCAAGTACTAAATGGGCATTCGACATAATTTTCGTCTTATCCATGTTCATATAAGATCCACTTTTTGGGAAGCACTACTAAAATCTTCGAGTATCGTGTTAAGATCTTCCAAGGTCTCAGCCATAAGAACTACATCATCGGCGAAACGAAGGTGCGAAAGGTACTCGCCATTAATGTTAATTCCTCGTCTTTTCCAATCCAGAATCTTGAAAATATCCTCCAATGCAGCTGTGAACGGTTTCGGAGATATCACATCTTCCTGTCTCACGCCTCGCTTCAGTTGGATAGAATTAGAGCTCTGGTTCATACATTAAATGTGGCACCACAAAATAAAACACATTTTTTTTATGATTACTTGTGCGTTTAGAATACTTTAGATTTGTTAGTGATATTTGTTACTCAGCCCGCAAATAATTATGTATGAAGCAATATGAATGAAATTTGGCACACATAATAGTAGTTCTCTATCTGGAATTAAACTTAAAACACTTTTAATCCAAGGGAAGCGTTAGGTACCGGAAGGATTGTAAGAAAATTATACTCCTTTTTAGCCGTCGTATAAATACAAAATGAAGACAAATTCACCCGCAGGAGCTACTATTTTTTTTATAATGTCTTGTGAATTTATTATTTTAAAATACTAGGTATTCAATATTTCTAATTTCCTAACAGCATACTAAGTAGTACCTATGAATATAATAATGCAGCCATTAACAAAACAGGTTGCCAAGGTTGAGGTTGAACAGAAAATACTAACATGGCAATAAAATTCAAACAAATGTATGTGCATACAACTTTATTTACAGCTTGAGACGTGGGTGGCACATAATTGATGTTGTCGATAGTAAAAACTAGCCGTAACAGGATTATAGACGGACGACCGGGAGAGCGAGCAGATGTCGAAAATATTTTATTTTGGAGACAAATGTTGACGGATTTACAAAAAAAGGTATGTTTAAAAAAACAAAATACTTAAATATTACTTCAAATAAAAACTGAAAAGAAAAAAACAACCTATATAATTCTGTTAGGTAAGGAACAAAGCTACTTTAACAGTCGGGACCCTATAGATATTCAAGTTGGATAAAATTTATCAGTAACGGGTGTGACAGTGTCGCATGCTACATATTGTGGTATAGGTGCTACAAATGCTACAAATAAAAACATCTTAGGGCACTTGCGACATGCGGCAGTCTATTGTACGCAAATGCAACATCGTACCTAGATCATTTCAGATAACTGGGGTATATAATAATAAATTATTGTATCCTCAATAAATTCTAAATTATTTTTCGTTACCCCACACCATGACCGATAATTTATTTCTCAATTATGAAACAAAACATACACATAACCTACAAATTAGGCTACGTTCCAAACCTACCTACGCTCAAGGCGTAAGAAAATAGTCAAATGAACCATTTATAAAAATCTTTTTCACCAATTAAATATCATCACCATACGTTATAAATTAATGTAACTCTTGTGGTTGTAACAGAACGGGCCAAAATGGCTCTCTTTTGGCCAATTCACTCAATAGCTTTATACGTTGTAATTTAGATATTATTATTATATATAATATATTATTTTAAAGTTTCATTCAAATCCGTTCAGTACTTTTTGCATGGATCAAAGATATTTTTCCTTCTCACAATATGGCACCTTATTGTTGCCATATTCAAATTTGATTACTATCATGTCCTTAGTAGCACTCCCAGGATAAGACGAATCGATAGACGTATGAATCATCAAAATCGGTCTACGCGTTTGGTCTCTAGTGCAACAAAAGAACATACATACTTTAATCGACTGTTAAACACTATACCCTGTCTGTGCGCCACACTTCGCGCTGTTGCATTGCGCAGTTGTGTAAAAAGAACCCACTTGATACGTATATTATGGTTGTTAAAGAGCCGATTATAACTAGGAAACACAGATATGGAATACTTACATAAATAACAATTACAATTTAATTATGTTTAAAAAAAAATGTATAATGTTTATATATTTTATGTGGTGTAAAATAAAGAGTTTTTATTATTATTATTACACATTTATTAAGGCGCGAGCGCAAAACATTCGTCAATGCCAATATCAATAAGACACAAACTCAATAAAACAAGTGAGGTTAAATGGTATTAAATTGAATACAACACAATTAATTATATCATTGCTATTTGATTGTGAAATACGCACCTGATTCCTTATTGTGTCATGCATGGTGAAACTATTTCGATTATCAATTTGTTAATTGAAATTCGAATCACGTATTCACTTGTGGCTCCGACGAGAATTAACACACAACTGACTCGTGTCGTGGATGCTCCAAATGAGTGGTGCGTTCATGGAATGAAGTATGACTAGGGTTGCAACGATATATCGGAATATCGATAATATCGATAATATCGAGACCAAAATATCGATATTTATATCGATATTTAAAATTCACTGATATCGATAATATCGATATCGGAAATTCCAAAATATCGATATTTCGTAGACTAAATTTGAACACAATAATATCAATTAATTTACCTGCTATGACTATCTAAATTGAATAATATCGAAATAACTATTGCTTTGAAATCGCAAGAGCTTATAGATGTATTAACAAAATCTTGAACTTCAAGAAATATGCCAAACTGGTGTGGATTCTGGCATGATTCTCTAAACCTAAAATTAAATTTGATAACAGTGTATCCTTGTCATTCTCTATACAGAATGAAAAGGAGAGACTGATGTTAAATTTAGTTTTAAGTTTAGATAATCATGCCAGAATCGACACCAACGTATATAGGTGTAATCGTATACCTAATGGTAACTCATGCGCTTAAATAAAATCCTTGCCTCTCTTTCTAGATAATTGTCAACTACTGATTAATTGAAATTTAATATCATTGTAATATAACACAAAATAAAATTAAGAATCATAAACAAATCGTAATTTTTTTAAGCTCGCCAAGTCAAGAAAGTAAGATAGGTATAGTAATTTTGGAAGCTTTGGGCTTACCCTATTCTGAATCCATGGGCACGCCCCTGATGTGTGGGAGACTAAGCAATTTGCGTATTTGATCTGCGGTAAAAAACCGACATAACTTGGAAAATCACGAATGTAGTGAAAACTTAGCGAAGGCATTCGCAAACGTCGTCCCACATATGCGGGTTGGCGCATTCGTGCTAACGAATATGAGTGATCTGATCAGGATGTTGATGTTGGAATGACTGATATATCGGAGCGGATATCGATATTTACCTGCCCACATTATAAATATCGATATTTCGGAAACCTTTGCTTCCTTAATTTTAGGTTTTTGCTTTGCAAACTTAAACAAAGCACAAAAAAAGAAAAAAATATCGATATATCGATAATATCGAGTTAAAATGGTCGATATATCGGAATATCGATATTTTCCTGACTTCGATATAAATATCGATATAAATATCGATATTTTAAAAGACTTTGCATCCCTAAGTATGACTACAGACGTGTAGTGGGTGACGCTGGCGATAAAAATATCGTATACATCGTGTATATTCTTATAATGCCTTCTTTAAGCACGGATAGAGAGCGGTCGGTGTATTTTAATCATCTGGTTTTCATCGAATAATGGCTCTAATCTGCGCCCGCGCCTAGATGACGCATCTCGGGGCGGGACCGGGGCGCGTTTGACAACATCTGCAAGCGATTGACGTTTCACACGCTTCTAGTGCAAGCTAAACTCGACTCTATGTTACAGTGATCAGGGAATTTATAAATTTGGATCTTACTAATCGACGGAAAATGCTAACGGAGTGTCATACACTACAATATCAACACACAAATTTATAAAAACCCTGGACTAATCAAGTAGGTACCACGGACCTTTTTAGGTCCGTGGTACTTATAAATCATTAGAAAAAATCTTACTTGGACAAGCAACAAGCAACGTAGAATCCAATTAATGCCAAAGTGGTATCATAGTATATCTATAGCTGATATTGGCCTTTGATGCCCTGATATAGAGAGATATAAGATAGGTACATTTAGGTCAGGTTTAGATTATAGAATAAGGGCAGTCAGTACTTTTAATTTAATATTTAATCAGAGGGTCGTTCGTTTTATTACAGTATTCCACATTTCCCATGGCATATTCGGATTCCACCATCGTGAATCAGATCCATTTCAAATGTAGGATTACCTTGTTATTACTTGTTGAATTTTAATTTGGAATCAAATCAAAAACGTTAAAACCGACAGAAAGGCACGCAAATAAACGCTAGGAAAGGTGACAATAAATAAAATAGATTTCAATGGATTTGATTCTTTACTCTATTGATTTAAATTGCACAGTTTGGAGAACAGTTTATGTCTGCAAAAAACAATTTGAACTAACTTGAACTATCGCTATTAGTTTTTTCGAACATAAGGGTGAAGGTAAATCAACAGCGAAGTGTTTATAACCAAAATAGTTAAATTTTGTAAGGACGTTGCACGTACACACACATCAAATTTGGGATCACTTTGAAAAATAGATTGTTTTTTGTGTTATAGAAGACTTTTTTGTGATTTCTTTTTCTGGTAAGTAAAATTAGTATTAGAACGTAAAACAATAATATAACTTAATTGTTTTTTTTCATATGAAAAGACATGCAATCCAAGCTGATACTCATTCAGAAATCTGACTTATTCAATATTATCGAATTCAAAATATCTTTTCACGGAAAAATGTGATTTAAAAAATGCCAGGGGATTATCAGATGTTTTACGAGCCAGAATTGTAACTTTGAGGGAAGAAGGCTATTCAACGAGAGCAATAGCACGCAGAGTTGCCATATCCCAATCCTGTGTAGTAACCACGTTTAAGAGGTACCACGGCATGGGTAATTTAGCTGATCGACCGCGGCAGGGTCGCGCAACTGTTTTGACAGCTGCTCAGAAGCGCTACAACAAAATTTTAAAACCAGGTTGCTGGTAGCCCGCGACCCAGCAATAAACGCCACTAAATTAAAAATGGGTGCGTGTACTTATGTAGGCGCGTGAGAAGTTATCCTTCTTTAGCATCGTTTAAAATTAGTTTTTAATTGCATGCAAATAATTAATTACAATAAATTAATAAAAAGTCTGGAAAAGGACACAGTCAATAAAGTTCAGTTTTAATTTGAAAAAATAAATAAATAATCAAAATATTCAATTAAAATCGCTACTGAATATAATTTATTAGAACATATGTGATTTGCACTTGTATGAAACTCAAACACGTATTCCGAATATACAAACTAGAAACATGTGGATAAATATTATAAATATGAATACCTATAACTGTTACTTTATTACAAAAAATAAAGATGTGGTTTTTGGTTCTACTACACCAATGGTCAAGAGATGGCGCTGTAGTCTCCTGAATCGCGCTTTGGTTCCGTTGTTCCAGATTAATAAATACTTTTGATAGGCCTTCACAATGCAGTCGTTAGCACCCACTAAATAGAGATTCTATTTCTATTTTGTTGGTAGATTTTCTTAATGTGCGGTAAACACAAAAGTAAAATTTTGTGTTACAGTGATGCGCGCGCATCTTAAAATTTCACTCTCATCATTTTTTCATAACGCGCCTAAAGAAGTATAACTTCAAAAAGCAGAAATACGGGTCGCCTCCGGACTTGAAGTTAGCATTAGGACCATTCGGAATTGCTTACATAAGGCTGGATTACGAGCAAAGAGGTCTTGGCGAGCACATTGGGCTAGGCTCCGGCAAAACGAAGAAGACGAAGAGGAAAACATTTGTCAAAACTGCCTCTTCGTTGACGAATCACAATTCAGCACGGCGGTAAATCAGTATCCTTTTGGGGTGGTATTATGATTGGGGCTAGAATGCCTTTAATTCCGTATCAAGGCTTCATAACGGCAGACAGATACAAAACAGTCGCTATTGATGAAATCAAATAAACCATGGGCACCAATTTTTACTGGTTGACAAAAATGTGCCCTCACATTGAGCTCAACGAATCAAAGCTACTCTCCGAGAATACGAAATCACAAAGTTAGACTGGCCTGCCGGCTCTCCCGACTTAAACCCAATAGAACACGCGTGGGATACTCTTAAGCGAGCTGTTTGGAACCACATACAGTGCCGCAGCTCAGGGAAGCTGCTGTTCAAGAATAGGACAGATTACCACAACTGCTGGATAACTTGATCCTCAGCATGCCCAGGAGGATCTCCGCATGTGTTCGAGTCAGAGGAGGAGATAAGATAAACAACAATTTAATAATAAAAGGTTTTTAAGTTGGGTTAAACTATCTTTTTATTTCTATCAAAGTTTTATTACAATCGCCTTAGGATTGAATATTTTTTTTATACTAAAAAATAAAATTAGTTTTTTATTTGATTTATGAAAGTGTATTTTTAAATAAAAAAAGATATAACGTAAACATTTTCTCTTGATTAAGTTAAATTTTGGGAATATATCAACTTTTGCAAGTATCTCAAACTTTTTTTGATGTGTGTGTACCTATAGATAGGAGAGTTGACGTTAAAACGAAGACTTATATTTTCAGAGGAAATCTTGAAAATTATGTAATGTAAGTCTTAAAGCTGAAATAATCAAAGATTTTTCTAGCACCATTATAGCAATAAAAAAAACTCGTAATGTTTTTGTTGGCATCTACAGTTTTTCAGTTTATTATGTAGAGATAAAACTTATAAGTTTCAAATTCTTTATCCGAATATTTTTTATGTAATAATAAAATGCACTCCTTCAGTCCTTTCTGAACATTAAGTTGTTTATTTTTGCTTGTTTAGATATAATTATGTGTATAGATATAATTTGACACAATATAAGAACATTAAGTTGTTTATTTGTGTTTAAATTATTTGTGAATTTTGAATTTTCTTGCTGACTAAGCATCTTGGTGCCTTAGTCCATAGTGAGTAAATTAAATTTTACATGTCACGAAAAAGTTAAAATTAAAGTAATTTTTTCGTTTTGCTTACCAAGTTGTAAGCAAAACGACCGATAGAAGAGTAACTTCAACTACCTTTTATACGATTGAGGTCAAAAAGTTGACCCGACAGTGAAATCAGTGAATATCTATAAAAGTGTACTAAGTACTGAATGAGAGTCGCTAGTAGTTAGTTCCAAGTTTGCTCTCGCAACAACTTGGTCAATGGAGAGTCGTTCGTTTAAGCCCCTATTCAAGATAGAATACTCAATTTACTTTAACTTCTAGATTGGGTCACGAACTGTCACGGAATGATATCTATACTTATATGACGAACTCTGTGGCCGCGTGGTTTATACGCCGGGTTTCATGGTGTTGCCGACTCGAGAGGTCCCGGGTTCGAATACCGGTGGGAGCAGATGTT